CGCCTAAACATGGCCTCGGGCTATGTCCAGGAAATTCCACTGCTCTAGCTGCTTGGGTTGCGGGGTCGCATCAAGTGTCATATGTTCTTAGGTAACGCGTAGATGAGGAATGGAGGGGTGCCTAAGCTAGGCGTGAAAGTTGGCAATTTCCCTGCCAAGAATTTTCACGTGCCGATAAGCGAGAACAACGCACACCCTGGAGCTGAATTTGAAACCTTTGAATTGGGACGAGGAATATTCCAGCATTCCTGGTTCGTAAGTTGGCGATTTTCCCGCCAAAAATTTCGCGTGTTCGTATGTGAGTGTTGCGTGGACGTAAGCGACCATTTTAAGGGTAGGGGCCATACACAGATGTAATTTGCTAAAATTTCAGCCCTGTAGATTTTATAGGTCTCGAGATGAAAATTCAGTACAAAGACACACATACATACATGCACAAACACACTCACATACACACACAGAGAGACAGACAACCCCTCGACAGTATGCGTTTTTGCATTGCATAGACGCAAAAAAAAAGCATGAAAAGTCAAAACTCCCCTTCCATATTTCGCAGTCGAAAAGTAGCCGGAGCGCTAACAAATGCATTCATTAACAATATTAAACAATATAAAAACCGGTAATCATGTACCTGAAGGTCCATGTGGCTTCTCAGCAGCTACCCACTGGCAAGGCCGTCGATGGCTGCTTGTCTGAGAGCTGGTTGCAAGCAAGTTGATGTTGGGGTTTGTGTCTCTCCCAGGCATATGCCAGTACCAATTTACCATCGAAACGAATCATAGAGGGACTGGTTGCCTCAGCGGCGGTGTCGAACCATCGACCTCTTGCGCAACAACAATGGTGCTCTATTCCACTGCGCCATGCCTGCTGCCTTCTTTCGATTTTGACACTCCTCTGTAGTACTTTTACTGAAACAGTTTCCAGTTCTCTTTTTAGGGGTTTCTTCTGTGGAAATATCCGGTGAGCATAATGGACAGGTGCATGTGCTGCTGCGCTCCGTGCAAACCACGATATCGTAGGCTGGTGGATGCCATTTATCCCAGGCGAGTTTTTTACCTTGTTATTGGTTAGCATTTGTTATTCTCACTTATTATCACCATTATTTTTTTTTGTTATTGCTGTTGTCAGCGTTGTTATCATTGTTATCGTTATCATTATTACTTTCATTGTTGTCATTATTATCACTGCTGTCATCGTTATTGTTACGCATTGTAATGATTTAACAGGGAGGCATTTAACAGTTATGATTTAGGTCGTTGACCGATGGTTTGATTAATTCAAATATGCAAAAGTTGACGTTTTTTGCGATCTCGCGACCTGAGAAACTCGACCGAATTGGCGAATATATTGTTGCACGGCTGGCAAGGGACCTGTACCATCAGCGATACAATCAAGTGAAGGTAGAACTGGCTTTCAGCCTCCTCAAATTGCGCTTTCTGAGAACTATGAGATAACAGAGTACTGTTTTAATTAACAGTGATAAGCAGTGCAGTTATTTATACTTATGGGCAGCGTTATGACTTCCCTGCCAGTACTCCGTGTTAGCGAGAGCTGCTATAAACCAGGCATATTTGTGCTAGACCCATCTCTCCTGAGTGGATTGCTGGGGGGGGAGGGGGGCAACTTCTTCGGAAGTTGTCCGAGTGCTGTTGTTTAACATTTTAGTTGTTTATTACTAAATATTCTTTATGGAGTGTGCCAAAGAATTTC